ATACCCTCCATTTGCCATTGTGTTTCTTAACCAAGACCGGGTTGGAGACCCACCTCAGATAGGTGGCCTCCCTGATGAAGCAATTTGGGTTGAGCTTCTGAACTTCTTTCTTTAGGGCCTCATACCTCTCAGGGTTGAGGGCTCTCCTTTTTTGTCTATGCGGGGCAACATTAGGATCAATTTTCAAGTGGTGGCAGCTGATCTTGGGGTCTAGGCCCACCATGTCCTCATGCTTCCAAGCAAAGACATCAAAGTTCTTGCCTAGGAAGTCCTTAATCTTTTCTCTCAAAATGTTGGACAGGCCTCTGCCTACTTTCAAGACCTTGGACGGATCTCGGGGGTCGGCTGAGAAGCTCTCAAGTTCCTCTACTGGGGATGCTTGAGGCTCATGTTCCATTATGCGGGGGTCGATCTCATCAACGATCAGCACCTCCTGAATAAGCGGTGCGTCAATCATATCAACATCTTCCTGGTTAGTGGGAGCGTCACCTGGGACATCCGCCATGACCACATCAGCCATTATCACATGGACGTCCCGGGGCTCTACCTTCTTAATGGAGCTCAGATAGCACTCTCTCGATCCTCTCTGGTCGCCTCTCATCGTTGCAACCCCATTTTCTGTTGGGAATTTCATGCACAGGTGGTGGATGGAGGTGACTGCTCCCAATTCCTTTAGGGCCGGTCTGCCCAAGACTCCGTGATAAGCCGACCGGCTGTCAACTACGAGGAATTCCATGAAGTTCATCGTAGTTTGAGGAGATTCTCCCATCTCCACTGCCAGTGTTATCTTTCCTCTCGGAGTGATGCTATCTCCGGTAAATCCGTACAATGGAGTGGTGGTGGGCGTCAGCTGATGGTCCAATATCATCTTGTCAAAGGCGGACTCGAATAGGATGTTGACGGAGCTGCCGTTGTCGACTAGCATTCGTTTGAGCCTATTTCGGGCTATGACAGCCCTCACCACCAGCGCATCGCAGTGGGGGTAATGAACTCTTTCGGCGTCTTCCTGGGTGAAGACAATCGGTGGTACTTGGTTTCTTCGAGAGCTACCGTCCACAATGTAGCTCGTCAGAGGGGGGTGCTTAGCCTCCCTAGCATAATTTATTTTGGAATTCCATGTTTCACCGCCAACATAAGGGCCTCCAAATATGGTATCTATCTCGTGGATAGGGACCTCATCTTGAGCTTGCCTATTTATTCGGTGTCTACGCCCTTCCCTGGGCCTCTCTGTGTCTTGCTCCCTTCGCCTTGGGGATACATCCCTTTGACGAGGAGCGGCCGCCTCACGCCCATGTCGGTTGTC